TCGTTTTTATCTGTTTCATTAGGAATTCTATTTCCAAGATAAAGGAAAACTCGTTGCTGCTCTTTTGACTTTGTTACCAGCTTCGCTACTCTTTGCAAAGAACGCGTCCAATGCACTTGACATCCTCTCAAAACCTTCTCTGCTTTTTCTTGCCCCAGTGCCTCTTTCAAGCCATTGGCCTGTGCGTCATCAAAATCAACAAGAATGACGTCAAGGGTGTTACCATTCTTGAAGTCGGGATATYTTTTTGTAACGTATGCAAAAAGCTCTTTGAATGCCGTTCCATATGCCACGCCATCTTGTTTGTTGCACAGTACTCTTCCAACGGCATTGTATAGCAATGTTTTTTCGTTCAAAGAGACGACATTGAGTAAATAAGGAAAAGATTCATTCCCTGTATATGTGATATCAACAAAAATATAAGAAGCGCTGGCTAGCTGCTCTGCTTGGAATGGCGCCATAAAAAAGGCGTACTTGTAATTTGGAGTAAATAAATATTCGCTACCTTCCATTTGATAACTACCYATCAAGGAGTTGATCTYCTGCGTTAATGGTTGGCTGTCTCCGTCTTGGTTCTGTTCTACTTTCTGTCGGATCTTTTCAAAATCAATTATTGTTGTAATTGCACTGCCACTGTTTTTCTTTCCTTGATTAAGAACACTGCCAATCGCAAGTCTTCTTTCTCGTCTGACTCTGTCAATGTTTGCTGCGGCAATACTTTTTTCAAATGGAGTGTAGCCCATCCCGAGTCCCTTCGACAGATCTTTTGCTGTGCTTCTTATATTATTAAGTGCAGATGTCTGAATGTCCTCTTGCACATGAGATGAGATCTTGTGAGGCRCAGGCTTGTTATGGTTGTGCTTATTTATTGTTCCCACCCACCTTCTTTTATCACCATCGACTTCTGGCCACATATAAAGGAATTGTACCGGACAATGACCAGTTTGTTTCAAAGGAACAGAATTTTTGTGCGTCGAGCACCTATTTATCCTTTGCCTTTTGGAAACAGTGTATGATGATGATTCACAGCCTGAGCAAACTTTTACTCCTTCGCAAGCTGCACGTCTTATRTTTAATTTTGTTTCGATTCCATTCAATTTAACCACATGTTGTTGCGTTTGGCTCGATGATCTGGACAGCTGGTTGTCATCGTACATGAAGTGGGACCTGTTTTTTGCAGCAAACGTTTTCTGTGTGTAGTCTTCACAGTAGTACAAAACGTCCTGCTGGAAGAATCCGGGAAATTCGTACTCTTCTTTATTTTGTAAAGGCTTCCACGCTTCGTCTTCGTTCAGCATCTTCTTTATTTTAGGGAGAAAATGGCAATTTCTTCCTGAACTTTTCCTGTTCTTCATTATCTTCTCGTTATCGCTATTTATTATTGAAATAAATGGACTCATAACCAT